ATATAAATACCATGACTAAAAAAAGCAAGGGACAAGCAGAGATCTCTAAATGACAGGCTCAAAAAAAGGGGGGGGGGAGTAATTCTGCAATGTATTTGTTTATAGTGATAATTTTAGAATTTTAAACTATACATGTTCTTTTATCCCCTTCATAAAAATCCTAGAAAATTCTGACACAGAGAAGGTGTTAATTTCTCTCTTTTCTCCTCTGTCACCCAGCTTCAGGAGAGTACCACTGGTCTCAAATTCCATAAAAATGTTTTGGAGAAAGCAGGCACCTATATATTTAACTATACATGAGGTGAGGGGCAAGAAGTATGTTCCAAAGCACACACATGCTGTTCTTCTTCAGAAATGAACTTTCTTCCCCCTCCTTTTATCCCATGTGACGGGTCCCTTGTCTGTATAAGTCTTCCTGACATGTTCCAATTAGTCTGTGAGTGTGTGTGTGTTTAAGATTCTATTTTTGGTAATCTCCACATCTGAGGTGGGGCTTGAATTCACAACCCCGAGATCTTGGGTCGCATACTCCACCAACTGAGCCAGCCGTGCACTCCAAGTGTGTGTGTTTTTCATGGGTCCATTACTAGTAACCCTTCCATTTAGATCAGAGATGCTCACCTTTGTCTACATATTGGCATCACCAGCTTAAGAAAAATACTGATGCCTGGTATCTATCCACAGAGATCGTGAGTTAATTATTTTGCAGTCAGATATGGGTATCAGGCTTAATGGAGCTCCCCAGTAATTTTAATATTAATTCCAGTATGCCTCTAAGGTTGAGAACTGCTTAACAGACTAAGCAAGCCAGGCACCTCTAGATTTTTATTTTTGCAGAAATTTGTTGTGTCCGCGGTATCTGCTCCTATGATGGACATGTAGTAGGGGCTCAGTTAGTGTTTGCAGAATGAATAAATAGTGCGAGAGAGAGTAGGAAAGGTTCACATTCTGTCTACGCTTTTTCCTCTGCATTCTTCCCACCCCCTCCAAATACAGAGAAAACACTCCCTGTTAGCACCGTCTTTTGAGGTAATCCATTCCTAACACAGTGTTAGGTGAAAAGCTATGGTATGAGCCCATGGACTTCAACCCCAAGCACGATATGGAGAAATTTCTTACCTGTAGACTCAAACCTTTGAACCAAAAAGTGGTGTTTTGTTGAGATTGATGGCCCGTATAGAGGCCCGTGTAGAGGCCCACATGCTTTCGGGTTGATTCAGAACAAGTTGGCTTCTCAAGCTTCCTTGGAAGGAGGAATTTCATCTCACTGGGTCACGGTCTCTCTGAGAATCTGGAGTTACAAATACTGGCTGTGGGTGGTGTTATTTTGGTCCATACAGAATTCCTACCAGTTGTCCTGCCTGCCCATGGAAAACCTGCCAAAGGAGGGGACTTAGGCTGTGGTTGCTGATGTGCCCAGATGGCAAAGGCCATCACGTTTGTCAGAAGCTAATGCGGTTACCTAGGTGAATGAGGACAGATTCCCAGATTACATAATTCCTTGGGGTTTTGAGCTGAATTTATTACCCACCTGACTCCTAGCCTTAACGCTAATCTTGGGCCTTAATAAGCGTTGAAACTCTTAACTAGACAACTTGGCATCTTTTTGGTAATTCCGGGGGAATCTTGTGTTCTTTCGGTGGGCCTTGGTTAAGGTATTGGAGTTCTTTTCCATTTAGATATTAAAGAGATTTATAAATTCAGGAAAGTATGAATAATTAATGTGCTTCCCTGTGTAACAGAATATGTATTTGATCCTGGAGTGGAGGTAAAAAATGTAAGGAAATAGGATGATTTGCTCCTGTAAGTTAGTGACAGAAAAATGAATGCCTCTGTGAGTAATGCCAAAGGAAAAGAGAAAGTGGGGAGGCTTTCTACACTAGGAAAGGAAAAAAAATTAAAAAAAGAAATGAGTTTGAAAACATCTGGCCTTGTGTCTTTGTGTTCTCTTCCTATACCCGTTTCAAGCCCAGAGGATCCTGTTTGGGAAAGGAGACGATGGGTCGTGTAACCAAGCTGAAGTACTGCTAATTGCCTATGAGACCTTGTAAGATTCCTCCTACTTCCAGCTCAGCTCTTTCCTTTGCTCACTGTGCTCTATGCATGCTGGTCTTTGCCATTTGTTGAGCGAGCCAACCACTCTTGGCTCTGCCCTGCCTGTTCCCTCTGTGTGGGATGTTCTTCTACCATATATCTAATGGTTAACTCCCTCTGCTCCTTCAAGTCTTTGCTTTATTGCCACTTTCTTAAAAAGGCCTACTTAAGGGGTGCCTGGGTGGCTCAGTGGGTTAAAGCCTCTGCTTTCGGCTCAGGTCGTGATCCTGGGGTCTTGGGATCGAGCCCCGCATCAGGTTCTCTGCTCAGCAGGGAGCCTGCTTCCCCGTCTCTCTCTGCCTGCCTCTCTGCCTACTTGTGATCTCTGTTTGTCAAATACGAAATCAAATAAAATCTTTAAAAAAAAAAAAGCCTACTTAAAATTTCAGATTGTGCCCTACCCTTCTCCAAGCCTCCTTTCCCCATCACTTCTTCTTTCTTTCCATAGTGCTGTCACTTTCTAATATACTGTATAATTTGTTAATTTGTGTTGCCTGTTTGCCTCATTCTCACTATCCCAAGGACAGGATCTTTATTCATTCCCTTTCCATACCTAGCAAAAGTACCTGGCACGGAGTAGCCCTTCAAGACATACTGTCGAATGAATGACTCAGTATGCATCGTAGTTCTTTGGCTTGGAAATTAGTTCAGCAAACTCAAAAAGGTTTTGGGCCATTGCTGTTGCTCCTTCTAGGTTTGGTCTGCTGTATGTAATTAATTTGTTGGGACTATTATCATCATCTTTCCTTCTCTAGCCAAAGGCTTTTTTGGAAGGGGCAGTAGGATCAGACTAACTGCTCAGAAAAGCCAGAGGATGTGTGAGACCCTTGAAGTAGATATTCCACTGCTAGGAGATGAGTCCCCAAGTCGAGTGGTTTCCTCCATCCCTACAAAGACTATAGGCATGCATGTAAGTTCTCATGAGAGTCCTTCTCAAAAACATGGCCCTTGAGAACTTTCCAATCTCTGAAGAAGTGGATGGCTCATTATAGGGAATTTCAAGGTCCAGTTCAGCTTAATAACGAGCACTATGGTTAACCTTCAGGTCCTGATGCCTTGGCCAAACAGAAGAGGGTCACTTGAGCTACTCACGGGGGCTTGTGCTACCAAGTTGCTGTTTTTGGTCTTGCCTTCTCTGTCCTCATTGGGTTAACATGTGAGAAGCAGTCAGGTTGGGCTTGCCAAGGATTCATAGGGTCCAGCTTATCTTCAGAAGCATAGGGAACTTATCTTCAGAAGCATGTTTTCCTTTCACCTTGGCCTTCTTGCCTTGCCAGATATTTGTTCTTTCTTTCCTTACTCTCTGAGACGTACACACACTTCAGAAACCGTCCCTATCTTGGAGAATTTTCTGTATGAAGTTGAGGTAGCAGCCGTTCTGTCATTTTCTGCACATCAGACTTCTACCAGCTTTAGCCATCTGCTACGGGGTTTGGGGGTTTGGGGGCTGTGGGGGTGGGAAGCAGGGAGAAAAGACCTGTGATCAGAGATCTAACACAAAGCCCAAGCACAAAAATCTGTGCGATTTGTTTTGTTAGAACAGTGCTATTCCGGAGAAGAAGAATGTGAACCGCATATGTAATTTTAAATGTTCCAGTAGCCACATTTAAAAAGTAGAAAAGAAACCAGTCAAATGAATTTTCCTATTTTTTATTTAACTCCATGCATCTAAAATACTGCATGTAACCAATGTGAAACATGGGTCAAACATGTCACCAATGTGAAAAGAATTGAGAAGTTTTTACATTAGTCTTCTAAATCTGGTACATATTTTATATCTGCAGCACATTTCAGATTGGACTAGCTATATTTCTTTTTCTTTTTTTGAAGTTTTTTTTTATTTATCAGAGAGAGCACAAACGCAGGTAGAGAGGCAGGCGGAGGCAGAGAGAGGAAACAGGCTCCCCGCTGAGCAAGGAGCCGTATGCTGGACTCGATCCCACAACCCTGACATCACGACCTGAGCCGAAGGCAGCGGCTTAACCGACTGAGCCACCCAGGTGTCTATATTCAAGGGCTCAACAGCCACCTGTGGCTAGTGGCTACCATATTGGACAGTGTACACAGAAGGCTCTCACCCACAGTCAGCTGTGTTACATTTTATTTTTATGATTGAAAATTGTTGACATCTTTCTATCCCTGTCCTCCACTTTACACCCAACACTCCACAAAAAGGCTAAATCATAAATCATATTCACTGATCTCAAAGATGGTAGGGAAATGTGAAGCGTAAGGAAGATTTCTAGTAAGGGTTGCTAAAATATTAAATACTGGTATTCTGGTACAAGGAACCTGAGAAGTATCAAGATGGAAACCCCTGACTACACAGTGAAGCCTTCTCCATCATGTAGCTGGGAGCCTACAAAAGACTTGGAGGAGCTAGCAAATGTGGCCTCGAGCTGGGTGTGTCCCTCCTCGTTTCCTTGAGGTTGATAACTTCCTCAGTTTTGTGGATTTCCTTCCTAGTCCATGGGGCAGAGTTGCAGCTGGAGCCTTCAAGTATGCAAGGCTCAGTCATGGCGGAGGCCCCAGCCGGGTTCCAAGGACCTCTGGACAGTCTGGCTTGTTGCCTTGGCCAGCTTTATGGATGCGCTTTCTCAGAACTGACCACTTCATGGACATTTGCTTGGGGGCAGTGGTATCAAAGGGCATGCGTCTGCTGTCTGAGCTGCAGTTCTCAATTCCAGCTAGCAGAAAGGAAACCAGCCAAGACATTAAAATCCAAAATGTCTAGATCAAACAGCCTCTTTGCCTTTTTCTATTTTTATTTTTTGTGCATATGTAGGAAATTTTGAAGTCGGGAGTGGGGAGGGTAGCTGTCCTATAACTAGTGGGTATTGATCTCACGGAAAGCATTGAGTCCATTGCTGCCTGTTAAACAATTTTTATCTCTGTTCCTTTTTTAGGCCGAGGAGTCTTGTAAATGTAATGGCTGGAAAAATCCCAACCCTTCTCCTACTCCCCCGAGAGCTGACCTGCAGCAAATCATTGTCAGTCTAACAGAATCCTGCCGGAGTTGTAGCCATGCACTAGGTGAGTTCCTAAATATCTTCAAGGGAACTGTAACGATGTCACTGTTGCCTGAGAGTTCTAACTTACTGAATTTCGTGGGTTAGCCATACTTGCATGCTGTTTGCCTCTGGGTGACAACGGAGTCTGTTTAGTCACCGGAATTTGCGTGACAAGCCCTGTGCTGTTAGCACTGCCTTCTTACCATCTCTTCCCATTTTCCGCGGAGAGCGGGATTCGACTGGGGGATTGCCAGATAAGATGAAATGTGACAACTGAGCTAGCTGGTGTAAAGTGTGCCAGGTCCTGATTCATTCTGATCGGGGCCTGAGGGTCTTTGATCTCTAGGATAGAAAGCTCGACCAGCTGTTTTTTTGTCTACTTGTTACTACTACTACTACTACTACTACTACTGTTATTATTGTTATTATTATTATTATTATTATTATTTTCTGATTGTCTGAACTTTCTGAAAGTGCTTCATTGTATCCTTGTATTCTTTAGTTTCCTGCTTCTGGTAGTTCTCTCTCTTCCTCAGGGTTGTGTTTGGTGAATGTTTACTTGTGTTTTCCCTTTCAACCTTCTTATCTATCCCTGCAAGATAATCATTGTCAGTTTGGCAAGATAGACTCTGCCAGAGTTACTCAACAGGACTGTGCTAATATGTTCTTGTCCTGATATGAGTTTTAAGTTAAAAATTTTTAAATTGTGTTTGGTTTGGGTAGATAAAAGTTAACGGTAGTTTTCCCTAGATATTAACATTCCGATTCATACAGGATCAGCTTGGGATATTCTACGTCTCCACCTTCAGTTACCTAGTCTCCCAAAGAACGTTTCTATGTCCAGTTTACTGTCCAGGCTGCTCCTGATAGAACATTCTCACTGAAGTTGCTTACCACCACCCCCACCCCCGCCCCCGCCCATTTCTAAGTTGGTGGCTTCTTTTGGATGTTCTCTCTCTTTCAAGCTGCTTGGTGATATCAAATGGTTCAGTGTCAGCCTTCAAGGTAGCATGGTGTCAGGCCGAGTCTGAAATTTTATTTTGTACTCAGCTGGAGAGTATTTCAGTACTTAGAGAGTAGAAAAGTAGATCATGTGATCTTCCCAGGAAGTCACTGCACTGGACTAACCTTCTGAGAAAGGATAGAGAGAACCTTGATCTCACAGAAGAAATAAACACACCAATAATTACAGCATTATAATAACTGGCATCTAAAATAATGTAAGTTCTGATTTTTGAAACAGCCGGCGCAAAGGAAGAATTCCAGAAGTCACAGAACACCTTTGCTTATAACCTACCTTTTTCACAATTGATCCCTGAGCCAGTGCCCTTTAGAATTTGCCTGAGGAAATATGATGCAATATGAAGCTGGCTCAGAAACTTCTTAAGCCCTGGGCTCCAACTGTATTTGGTATTGATTGGGAAATCCGATTATCCTACATCAATTAACATTTAAAAACAGAGTTCTCTTTCTTAGCTGAGCAGATTGTCTCCATTCTGAGCATGTAAACAGACATGAATGCCCAAAGGCAAAAATGGCCTTTTACAAAGAAAAGCCAACTTTGTTCTCTTTTACATTTCTTAGCAAGCTTTGAAAACAAATACCCTTATTGGGTGATATATAATCAAGAATGGAAACAACAAAAAAGTATATATCCTTTGACCTGGCAAATTTCTGCCAGAAATTTAACCTACCTATAAATTAAGATGTGTCCTCAAACTCAAAGAACAGTTAATTATAGCCACATTAATGACATTAAAAAACTAGAAAAAACCTAAATACCCCAATGTAGGAGATAACTGCTTGAATTATGAAAATCTCTATTATAAATTCAATATGGCTATTAAAAATGATATATTTCCCAATATGGAAAGGCATTCTTAACATATTATAAATGAAAAAAGCAAGTCATAAAGCTGCTTAATTGGAAGTTTTATTATTTAGGACCAAATTAAGGCTCCAACAGCCCAATTTCAGATCTTGGCTCTCCAACTAGTCACTGTCCATTGGGGCGTGTTGTTCATCTGCTGGAGCTCCATTTGCTCAGCCCTGAGTCGAAGTTCATAGTATTTATCTCATAGAATTGTTGCGAGGCTTAAGTGAGGTAAAACGTATAAAAACTTTAGAATAGTACCTGGCAAATTATGAGCATTACTCTTAGCCCTTTTTGTTAATAGTGCTGTTCCCATTACTACCAGAGTTCTTTCACTTCAGCCAACAACTGCCCAGCTTAAGTAGGAAAACCGTGTTTATAAAAAGGTACCGGGAGCTCCCAGAAGCTGAAAACAATGGGAAACCCACTTTCAGTCTGGTCCGGGGAATCTCAGAAGCATAAATTTTGGGGCCTTCTGTCCAGGACACCCTGATGGGGTGAGGTCCATCGGCCCCTGTTCCGGTGAGTATGCCATCCCTAGAGGATGGGATCTGATTGGTGTAGCATCTGTCACGTGCCCAACCCTCATTGCACCCTTAGGGAACTGCGTGGAAGGTGGTCATTCCCACGCAGGCAAGCTGACTTAAGAACAGCATCATGGGGACGTCTGGGTGGCTCAGTGGGTTAAGCCTCTGCCTTCCGCTCAGGTCATGATCCCAGGCTCCTGAGATCCAGCCCTGCATTGGGCTCTCTGCTCAGCAGGGAGCCTGCTTCCTCCTCTCTCTCTCTGCCTGCCTCTCTGCCTACTTGTGCTCTCTGTCTGTCAAATAAATAAATAAAATCTTAAAAAAAAAAGAACAGCATCTTGAGTACAATCTCATTTATCAGTTTGGAAAATATGACATATTTTAATATGTACTAATAGGAGCAGCTCTGGTGGGATCATGTTCAGTTGCTGACAGTGCTTTTTCTCAGGGTATTGAGGTTTATAGGTGTTTTAAAAATATTTTTCTCCCTCTCCTCCCCCCCCATCCCTTTTCAGTCTGCTTTCTTAAAATTGAAATGTCTGTGCATTTTCAAGCTCTTGAAATTATTGGCAGAATGCCATAGTTTATGTATTGGTCTTATTATCGGGGCTGTAGAAAACCTTTTTCGGAGGTTATGCTTCCTCTCAAGCACAGCCCTCCACTTTAAAAAAAAACTTTTATTATGGAAAAGCTCCCACATATGTAAAGTTAGAAAGAATAGTTTAATAGGTGCCTTGTACTCATCGCACAGCTTTAATAATTAAAATTTGCCAACATCCAGAGCTCCTGGGTGGGTCAGTGGGTTAAGAATCTGACTCTTGATTTTGGCTCAGGTCATGATCTCAGGGTCCCAGGATCAAGCACTGACTCAGGCTCTGTGCTCAGCTCTCTGTGCCAAAAGAGTCTGCTTCAGATTCTTTCTCTCTCTCTCCCTCCCCTCCCCCTTGCTTGCTTGCTTGCTTGAGCCCTCTGTCTCTCAAACAAACAAATAAATTAACTAATTAACTAACTTTAAATAAAAATTTGCCTGTTTCCCTCCCCTCGCTTTTTTTTTTTTTTGCCCAGAGTATTTAAATCAGGTTTCATACATATTGTCCTGTTTGTGCAGATTACTTCTTAAATATTACCAGCAAAGTAGAGATTAGGGTATAGGGAATTCTGTTAGGCTTCACATAGGTCTGCATCCTGGGATGCATTTAAATTTGCATACACTGTCCTGATTTCCAGTCACTCTGCTGGGTATGGTGAATTCAGTCTCCAGTGATCATGCACATGGGTCAACCTAGAACATTCCTGTCCTTACCAACACATAACCTTCAAGCTTCTCGACTGAGACCATGTCTGTTCTGTAGCTTTGCTGTTGGGTACCCATTTCAGCCATACATTTTCTCTTGACAGTGAGCTCTGGTTTCATGTGGTCTCCTGAAGGTTAACTTCCATCCCAGGTGTCCTTGGTCTGCCATCATTGGATACTCCTCTGTGTCTTCTGGGTATAAAACATTCAGTTTAATGTTTTATAAATTAGGAATTAGGAAGCAAGAAATCTAGACTGGGCTCAGCGGTTTACCAGTCTCTTAACTTCTTTGCAGTTTGGTGTCTTCATCTACAGAGTGAAATGGTTAGTCTAGATCCATGCTGTCCAGTGTTATAGCCACTCGCTACATGAGCTAATGAGCACTTGAAATATAGCTACTCCAAATTAAGTTGAGCTTTAAGTATAAAATACCTGCCAGATTCTGAAAGCTCAGTATGAAAAAAGGGAGCTATCTCCTTAATATTATTATATGTTGAAATGATATTTTACGTATATTGAGTTAATGAAAAAAATATATATATATTTTATTTGACAGAGATCACAAGTAGGCAGAGAGGCAGGTAGAGAGAGAGAGGAAGGGAAGCAGGCTCCCGGCTGAGCGGAGAGCCCGATGCGGGGCTTGATCCCAGGACCCTAAGATCATGACCTGAGCAGGAAGGCAGAGGCTTTAATCCACTGAGCACCCAGGCGCCCCCTGAAATATATTATTAAAATTAATTTCACCTGTTTCTTTTTTCAGTGTTGCTAATGGATGACTTAAAATGACACATATGGCTCACATTAATTTTTTTTGGTTAGCGCTGGCCTAGAGCTTTCAGGTCCCCTCTCTGAAATTGTTTCTTATTTGGGATTGATACAGTCAGGTTCAGTTTACAGAAATTCAACAAAGGGTCCTAACACAGCACTTCAGTGGCCCAAACATTTCTCCTTATTTTAGTATTAATAACAATTCCTTATTCGGGAACTACTTATTTAAATAACAGTCTGGTTCTGTGATCTGGAAGGAGGAACCGTCATGGTGATCAAATCACGATTGGAATTTTTGTTGTCATTTTGGAGTCCATTGTTCTGAACTATGCCAGGTCGTACTGATTATTAAATTTGACTAGTGATAGTTCTTTGCAGTTGTATATAGGAGGGGTTTTTTGTTTGTTTGTTTGTTTTTTAAGATTTTCTTTTTTTTTGACAGAGAGATCATAAGTAGGCAGAGAGTCAGGGAGAGAGAGGGGGCAAACAGGCTCCCCGCTGAGCAGAGAGCCCAACACGGGACTTGATCCCCTGACCCTGACTGAGATCATGACCTGAGC